AGCGTGTTGCGTTATCTACAGTGAGCGCTGCAGTACTCTCGCTTTACTTGCACCACACCGTTCATCCCTCATGTCCGGTTGGACAGGCGGCATTAAATTTTTTTGAAGTGGGATTCTCGCTACATCCAAATGTTCCACGAGTGTGAACGTGATATAGTGAAATCATTAGAGACCTTGCGAGAGCGTCCTTGCACGATATATCCCTTGAAATTTCAGAACTCGAAAGAAGGAGCAAGAGCGGCAGCGCCTGTTATGGCAGATACCTTACATGCAGCTGAGAAAACCTCCCACCTCGGTACGAAGTTCTTACAAAAGTTTCGCAATTTATATTCTTTTAAGGTCTTGAAGGCAGTGCTGTTTCGAGACCTCAATGAATGTTATGGTAGTAGAAGAGGCGGTCCACTGAACCGTTTAGTTCACCAGTGATACTCATGTCGTCATCAAAATTGCACCGCCTTCCAGCGGGTACCCGACAGGAGGCCCGCCGCGTAGCGAGAAGGATGAGACGTGGGCTGGCCAGCAGATGAGTCGCAGCGCGTACTGGGTGAGAAAGCAGCAAATTAAATGGAATGTATCAGCGTCCTACATGCACAGTACGCGCACGGACTCGTCCGCTGACCCGCTTGCGTCTTTCTCTTCTCGCCGCGCGACGGGCCTCTTGTCGGGTACTTGCCCTCCAGCCATTGTGATCACTGTCCTAAAAGAAGAACTGTCCCTTTGCTCGTCTAAGTTAGAACGTATATCGATTACACGCTATTTGGACTGTGTAATTCGAGAGTCTCGAGAGAAAAACTTTGTGTTCGCCTATGGTACATATACGCGTCATAGATATAAACTTGACATAACAGCACGTTTGTTTGCACGAACAATTCAGAAAGATCTTTGAAAAAATCATTCTCTAGAAGTGAATTTTACGATTTTTATATTTAGCGTGAACTTCAACAACAGAGCAAGCGTTCACTTCAATCTGGTAAATCGGTGTTGACAGGAGATTCAAAGCTCACAGAATCGAATTTTGGCGACTACGAAATATATTTCTTAGAAGGCAACGCTGTCTTAACCACAAAATATCCAGTGACCGGTCTTACCGATGAAGACGGATCCAGATTCCCACAGGTTTGCACTCATACTAGGACGAAATATCAGCTAGAAGGTAGGTGACGATAAATTGAAATCGAAGAGAACTGTGGGTTCTCATGAATGACTAGCTCTGGTGGGACCGACACTGAGTAGTGGTGAGGGTTCGAAGCCTATTGAGTAACCCACGGACCTCCTGAGGGTGCGAACTGATGCGCAATTCGCATCGAAAAATTTGACCTCGGCGACCTATTATGCCTCAAAGTTGGCGGGTCTGGCGATCTCCGCCCACCGACCAGCTGATCACTCGCCGCAGATCTATACGTGGGATTGATTAGATAGCAGAGAGAGCGTGATGTTGAGGAGGGCACAGCGATGAGAGTCGCATCAATGCTCGAATCAACGGGCAAGGAAGGGGTACCATTTCTCGGGTTCTGGGCCGTTTCTCATGGTTCTTCCTTCTTTCGTGTACCACTCACCATCCCTAGGTTAATTTGAAATGGGTTGCTTTTTTCATCGTGAATTCGTCCTTTAAGTGTGCCGAACCACATAGTAACTTTCCACTGGCCCCTTTGCACATCCACCAACTGGCTACCAAGTGAGTAGCTGCTTGTCCGAAGCAGGATCTAGTCGTTTCAGCAGAGGCCAGAAGAAGCGACATGCCCAATTACTTTCACACAATGAGACTTCGTTCATCGGCGAAACCTGGAAAAATAATGTTCATGCTGTTTTTTCGGGGTCCGGGCGCTTCTCTATTCTTGTCCATCACTGCTGGCCCTCTCGCAGCTCTCTCATTTGGCCTAAAGAGTATCCGTTTCATCTGCCATTAACAGAACTATGATGGATTCAGATCGCAGCGTTAAAGTTGTATCTTCAAGCGCAAAGCCAGCCTTGAGGTGGAAGCAGTCCAGCTCTATGAGGTACCATTAGGATAGTAAACACATTCTCTAGGAAAATCGTTCCCCGCTGTTCGTCAGCAATGATAATGGCCATAGAGACGTACACATCTTGAATAAAAATGAACTGAGCGGTGTTACGAGAAGACAGTCTAAGGACTCCAAATATATCTCATTTGCTTCCTCGAAGTGTACCCTTCTAATACTTATAAGTCAACTTCAGTTATCTTCAGATGAGAAGGTTGGATCATGATAATGTCAATCGATTCATTGGACTCTCAGTTGATGGCGCTGAATATGTGGCTATTTGGCGTATGTGCTCCAGAGGCACTCTCCAGGTTCATTTTGGAAAATTACCGTGAAATAGCCGATATGCATGGATCATATTTTAAACAGTTTAGCGAACATATCTCAAAAGGTTTCCTATGGTTTGATCCGTTTTTTTATGCGTCACTAATGAAGCACATCGGTGGTATGCTTCTCTACCTCTTGGAAGAGAAAAAATAATTCGAGTTTTCTCAGGGTACTCGGTATCTGCACAACTCTGTCATCGGAGCCCATGGTCGTGTCCGATCGCGAGTGTTTGGTAACTGACAGCTGGCAAGTTAAGATATCGGACTACGGGACTGGGTCATTGCGAGAAGAAGAGCGCCTCAAGAAAAAACGTAAGAATCGTTACTACATAACCAAATTCGATCGAAAAACCTCCCCAGTCATACACTGCGACGCATAATCTTAGTTCCACCTACAAATTTCCCAAAAACTAGAATTTGGAGATGTTTTTGAAAAGGGCTCTACAGACAAATTGTGACACATGCAAATGCGAATCTGAATATTATCACGGAAATCCAGTTTGAGAAAGCAAAAATTTTTATCCTCATTTTTTCGAAAATACCCGACTTGCCTATGACGCAAAATCATAGTTCCACCACATGTTTCTCTGCTGCATTTTGCTTTTACCCAATCAAATTTTGAAATTATTACCCACTCAAGTCCCTTAGCTTATAGCAAAGGCAAAACCGCTGTCGAACTTCCGTAAAAGGAAAACCCTAGCAAAAGAGACGCAGGAGTTGTTGAAGTGTCAGCTCACGCTAGAATTTGTCGGGGTGGCTTCATAACGAACAAGTTTCTCAAGGATGCTACAGGATATGATTCTGGGAAGAACCCTGATTACTATCCGACCGAGATAAGCGCCGTATCGTGAGAAAATAATACGACTTTATCCAGACGGGTACGGAAATCAAAACTTCTTCAAAAGTTAGTGTCTCAATGGAAGCAGTTTCACGTGTTTTACAACACGCTCGTGACAGTCCATGCTGGAAGGATAAAAATACGCTTTTAGTGAAAAGAAATCAGAGAAGAAAACGAGCCATTTTTCTCAAAAAGTTTTGCTAAGTAGAGCGAAGTGAGGACACTTTTTTATCTGTGATATTTTGGAACCTCTGACCATCCTCCTGATCATTTTCTTCTCCATACATGTGTGGCTACAAAGTAAAAGAACCGCTTTCGCCATGGCGCACATCATCGAACTTTTCGTCGCACAGGGTGCCGGTTCTTAATGAACTTTTACACGTGAAATATTCCTAAGGTGTTCCCCCGTAAACAGAAGCAGGCCCTCTTCACTGTCCCCGCCGTCTTTAGAATATGACGTCATCTGCCGCCACCGTCGAGCTCAACGAGGCTTACCGTAATCGCTCCGGCCTGAAGCTGCTTCATAATTTCTTCAATAGATTAACTGTTGAATAGCTTCCTAGAGACATTAGCTGTGACTGTGCAAAACCGCTTTTGACCAGCATTTCAGACGTCCGTAATGGTCTATGGTACCTCGTCGACCCCGTTGAGGCATACTGCGAACCATGTTTCCGTGTAAAAATCTTCTGATGTCGTCGGTGTAGAGTCTCAAGTAAGAGTTTAAATAGACCATTGGCTCTAATACTGATAGGTGAGGCATATTTCGATTGATGTTTAGCAAAGCGGATTATGCTGTCTGAAATGTGGAGATTCAAGTGTCTCTTTTGTTGCACCCCTGTATTTTCGCTACGAAGAAAAAAAAACCGAGTCTGAAAGGAAAAACGTTTATAAAAAATGAAAGGCGGCAAAACAATCGCACATAAAAATGCCAACCCGCTTTATACTCGAATGCTGATCTTGCAAAGAGAAATGCTCGTCTCTCTCTGATTCTTCTCACTGAAAGCGTAATCCCTTATCCTCAAAGAAAATGGACTGAGCGTGTTGTAAAACACGCGAAAGTGCTTTCCATTGAGACACTAACTTTTGACGAATTTTTGATTTCCGTACCCGTCTGGATAAAGTTGTATTATTTTCTCACGATACGGCGCTTATCTCGGTCGGATAGTAATCAGGGTTCTTCCCAGAATCATATCCTGTAGCATCCTTGAGAAACTTGTTCGTTATGAAGCCACTCCGACAAATTCTAGCGTGAGCTGACACTTCAACAACTGCTGCGTCTCTTTTGCTAGGGTTTTCCTTTTACGGAAGTTCGACAGCGGTTTTGCCTTTGCTATAAGCTAAGGGACTTGAGTGGGTAATAATTTCAAAATTTGATTGGGTAAAAGCAAAATGCAGCAGAGAAACATGTGGTGGAACTATGATTTTGCGTCATAGGCAAGTCGGGTATTTTCGAAAAAATGAGGATAAAAAATTTTTGCTTTCTCAAACTGGATTTCCGTGATAATATTCAGATTCGCATTTGCATGTGTCACAATTTGTCTGTAGAGCCCTTTTCAAAAACATCTCCAAATTCTAGTTTTTGGGAAATTTGTAGGTGGAACTAAGATTATGCGTCGCAGTGTATGTGTCCTACTCAAAGATTCTACCTGCGCTAGAGTCATTGAGTAGATCAGGGTTCATAATGTCTTGAAACTAAAACTCCGAAATTCAGAACGTAAAAAGAGCAGTAAATTATGGTAGTGGTAAGAAATGATGTGCAGGGGGTCATCCTTGCAAGTTGGGTGAATGTGAGGCAAACGCTAAGATGGCAGGTGCGTGCTTGATTACAGTTGTCTCTGTGAAGCTTGGACGCAAGACTACAATTACTATGGAGAAAAGTTCACCGAATGCAGCACTTTTTTTGAATATTCCCCTGTTATTTTACTGACCAGAAAACCACATGAACTTCCAATTAAACCCCTGTTATTTTACTAACCAGAAAATCACATGAACTTCCAATTAAAGAAGGTGTTTAGCCAGAGCTGCACCTCCCATATGTGTGTGAGCTCCCAAGCAGAAAAGACAAGTAGTTATGAAACACTTCAAGCAAGTGGGGAATGGAGTTAAGCGACGGGATTAACTTGTATATGATCATTGAAACGGGAAAAAATTTGTCTTGCTAGATAAAGACATTCTCTCCGGTTTCCACAGAGTGACTAACTGGTACCCAATGGAGAAAACAAGGCCCAGAAGCAGGCCCCCACCCGATAGGCTGACTCTCTCGTAGAGTTAGTTATACCAGCTGCGGCGCGGAAGAGCCCAAAGCATAGCAGCTTGGAAGATGTGCGACCTGGGTTACTGGCGTCTACATACGTGTACGGGCGCCTGAGACGAATAGTGGGCGGGAATTAAGAGTAAGAAATACGACCCATTCAGAATCACAAACGCGACCCACTTGGTTGGGAAAATCCCTAGGTGCGGTTAGCCCAGGTTCTTTTTCGGACCATGGTAGAAACCCATGACTGGCGGGCTTCGCACGAAGCTGGTGTGAACTATCGCTTTCTCAAAAATTTCCCGGTCGAACAAATTATTTATGCCTTTGTTAAGTGACAACCGGGCAGAGTGAGGGATTCTTTCGTTCACTTCTGTCTGTTTTTCTGAATTTTGTAAGGATACGTTTATGTATCTAAAACTTGGCACCATACAGCTCAGAAGGTCAGAATCCCTAAACGGAACCACTGCCATATAGGTGCCGCTATTGGTTATAAGCACAACTAAGACTATTAAATTTTGGCGCTGGCGTCACTTGCACCATTTTGCGCCAAATCTTCGTAGCCCTGTTTCCTCCATGGAATCCGCACATATTAGTACTTATGCCCTGATGACGAATACATGAAAGTGGCTGCTCATTTGCACTTTTGCCAGAACTTTTTTGTTTAGGTCTGCTATGGATGGCTCCTGAACATCTTCGATCCCCCGATACCTCTTCGAAGGCATCAAAAGAGGGCGATGTATACTCGTTCGCTATTATCGCCTCAGAGGTTGTAACTCGAAAACCAGTATGGAACTTACCGCCGGTCCTTCGTGAGTTGCCGTGCGGAGCAACCGACGCCTGTTCATCCGCTTCGGATCGGTTAATTGCTACCGTAGACTGTCTGGGAGATAAAAACATCTGTTTGCTAGGTATTCGGCTTGCTCCCCCCCCCCGATCAGTGTCATTGTATCAGGCCACAGTCGCCATTCAATACACACGACTACGAATGTACAGAATGGAAAATAATGCGTCGCGGCTAAAAGGGATTGATCAACCGGCAATCTTTATCCTTTTCCGTTAATTATTCACTTGTCTGTATCCGGACTCTGCAGGCGAAGAGCCTAGGTTATTGTTACTCCTCTCTTCTAATCATGATTTTCTTTACTATTTTACTCCATCATGTAGTCCACCTTGCCCCTCGTCCCCCCGCGCCCGCCTCCCACTTTCATATTTGCGTATGAAGCTACTAATCTTCAACTTCAATCCTTAGGTTGCCTTGTAAACATTGTTGGTCCAGAGGATCTCACTTGGTTCGGTTCCGAGTGTCCGGACGGTTTTTCACTCCAACAGTCGCGTATAAGATGAAGCTGCAAAATACATCATGATTTTGGCAATAATACGGCTCGAACCTGATTAAAACAAGGGGGCTGGAAAAAAGAGTCACTCTCCCCCCATATGCTACAGGAGCAATTCACATTGGCCAAATCAAAACCTCAAATTCATCACCTTAACTGAATATTGATGAGGCACTTCTGATTTGATCAGAAAATCTTTCTTACGAATGTCCTCGAGCCCTTGACGCAATCAAAAGATTTTCCTCGATGGAAACATAGTGCAGGTCGGTTTGAGCTCAGGAGGTCTTCGATGGATCGTGGGCTATTGCGACGTGTGTGAAAGGCTGATGGGGAGGTGTTGCATAGTCAGAGCTGAAGAATCTAGGAAGCTATTAATCGGTTGACTGATCAAAGGAATTGTGTGAAAGATTCGAGCTGAAGCGATTAAGGTTCTTGAAGGGGCCAGCTACTGCCTAAGTGGGGGGGGGGGTGAGAAAAATCCTAGGAATGTGTTGCCATTCGGGTGTCCCCTAAGAAGCTCATCGCGCGGCAAAGGAAGAGACGGACGAAGGACGAGTCGCAGCGCGTGCTGTGCGATATGAGATGTAGTATGACACTCTTATTTAAACCTGACGTTCCTTAGGGAGTGATCATTTTGTACTCCTACTGACTAGTATAGGGCGCCATTCGTTGCGGGACCCACTGCCTTAACCCGCGGGGATCCCATGTGATCGCGGTTGAATTCGAACATTCCAGCTTCTCACGCATGTCAAGTGTCTGCCCTCACCCCCACCCCCCTAGACTGGCGACACTGCCCCTGGCTCACGGATTCCCCGCTCCACATTGAAGGGTTCACTGTAGCAGGAGGCAGTGGGACCCGTAACGAATGGCGTCCTTTACTAGTCAGAAGGAGTACAAAACGATGCGTTCCAACGCTCAGCACTACAAATATGCGTGCAACTCGTCCTTTGCCGCGCGCTAGCCGTCTCTCTTTGTGAAGGGGCAGTCGCCCAGCTACGGAGGGCGGGTGTGTATCAAGTGGTGCGAATGGAAATTTTAGCACCTAATTAGTGCTGCGTCGCGACTAGGTGCGAAGTGACCTCAAATCTTGGCACTTAATTAGTGCTGGCTGGCGATTGGGCGCCAGCTATCTGTGGGCGAGACGCGCCGTACATGTCCATAATGGTGCAAAGGATTGGAGAACAGCGATTTTGGAAGCGGCAAAGGAGATTTCAGATAAAATGTGGTTATTAATTTATTATTGCTAGTTTTTAGACTTCTGACTCCTGGGAACAAAACAAAGTGAATTGATGCTCATATTTATTATTATTACTATTGCTATTATTATTATTATTATTATTATTATTATTGATTATTATTATTATTAGTCACTACACTTTCTAACTATTTTCTTACACTTTCTAATTTTTCCGTACCTGTGAAAGGCTTCCGCTAAGTTAGTAGTCCTCAACTCCTTTACACCCCACTTGCACCAGATATCTTTGAATGGCCCGTCTAGCCAATTAGCCTTTAGGTAGTCAAGGAAATCTTGACACTTCCTATAAGCGTCGTGATTTCGGGGTACTGGGGGATTCTGCAGGGCTGGGACTTCGGGAAGCAAACCTGGCGGAAGAAATACAACTCCTGCAACACCTACATTTATTCATATAGACAGACAAAAAAAGTTTGCGCTACCTTTGATAGTCTGCCACCATTCTAGGATACGGTCATCCCTTTCATGCCCTTGTATGTGTCTTCGCAACGCCAACGTGTCCCTTTTTCTGTTCCACGCTTGAGCAAGATGGAAGGAACATCCTTCGATCGACGCGTTCGGGAGTACTCTTTCCGGCAGCATGATTGGCAGCCACTCTCAAAATCGAGGACGATATGGCGACCGTACCCCGCAGAAGTTTAAAAACCAGTAACAATAATTTAAGCACATTTTATCTGAAATTCTCCGCTTCCGAAATCGCTGTTCTCCAATCTTTTGCACCATTATGGTGCATGTACGGCGCGTCTCGCCCACACATAGCTGGCGCCAATCGCCAGCCAGCACTAATCAGAAGTGCCAAAATTAGAGGTCACTTCGCACCTAGTCGCGACGCAGCACTAATTAGGTGCTAAAATTTCCATTCGCACCACTTGATACACACCCTTTCGGGGGACACCCTAAAACCTCGGTCAACGGTTATAACCTCTGCGATGATAAGTTAGGGCGACGTACGCCATGGGAGAAGTGACTCTTTCTTGGCTCCCTGCATACTTTTTTCATAAGTCATATGTAAAATCAGATTTCCTACCACTGCCACATTGATTTCGCCGTCCGTACTGAGATCCGGCCGTGGAGGTGTAGGTCCTCCCTTTTTGAGCATATACAATAGTTCTAAAATAATATAACAAAAAGGGGGATTCGCGATGTCCAAAGATTGGTTTTGAAATTCCTACTCACCATCAATTCGCTCTTTGCGCTCGT